TTTAACTTCTAGCTTTTTAAATAGGTTATAGACTAGTTATATATACTAGTATATATATACTAGAGTATAGATTTCCTACTAAATTATAGCCTAATCTAATTAATTACTACTTAGTAAATAGCTATATATAGTATAAATTTATATTAACCTAAGAGAAAGATACTCTAGACTATAGCTTAGTAACTATATATAAAACCTTAAGTAGTATAATATAAGTTAGTTACTACCTAGATACTATTTCTAAGGGAATACTAGAGTATACTATATAGAATAAGTAATATAGAGCCTCTAGACAAGGCTCTATATATATAGACACCTAAGTAGAGGCTATAAAGAGAGAAAAAGTAATATAGAGAGACTAAGAGTTATAGCCCTCTTATAAGAAAAATTCTTACTATATAAAAGTAACTAAATAATCTTATTTAAGAGTATATAATATTAAAAAAAAGGTAAGGAATAGGTTAAAATACTAGTTAAAGTAATATAGAATAAAATACTATATTAGAGCTAGATATAAGTAAGTAGGAGAAGAAAAGAATACTTAGAGTAAGGACTAGAATTTTAAAGAATAGAAGCTAGAAGGACTCTAGTTTAAAAGTATAAAGTAGTTAAACCTTAAGTACTATAAAGTAGAGGAGAGAATAGATATCTAGTTATAGGTTACTATTATAAATTTAACTCTTATATACTTTATATAGTAATGCTAAAATATAGTACTATTAAAGTAAGTAAGGTTAGAGCTTCTATATAATAAAGCTTATATAAAATAGCTAAGTAATAATACCTTAATAGGTAAATAATATAAGTAATAGTAAAAGTAATACTATAAACCTCTATAAGTAGCCCTAGTAGCTTATACTTAGTAACTATAATAATATATTCTACTTTCTTAAAGACTTTAGTATTATTATTTATAAGTAGCACTATATAGTAGTTATAAGTCTAGATATATATCTCTATAAATATTATACTATATCTACTATACTATAGCAAGAGATACTTAAGTACTTTAGTTAATTTAAGGCTATTACTCTAAGTATAATTAAGCTTCTAGGCAAACCTATATAGCTAATAGAAGAGCTAAGGAGCCTACTTACTAGTATATAGTATTAGATATATAGCTAGATTACTATTAATAAGAATAAGATATATAGGTACTATAAAAAAAATTACTAGTAGGCATAGATAAGAGAGAAAAGCTTGCTTTATAAGACTATAAAAGTATAGAGTTTCTTCTATACTAGGGGGTTATAAAAATATTTTATTATTAATTTAGTAGATATTTAGAATTGTAAAAATACTAGAGTTAAAAATACTATTTTAAGGTTGCTTACTAAGTATAAACTAATATAATAAGAAGTTAAGAAAAAGCTATAAATACTTAAAGAGGCTATAAAAATAGATAAGATAGGCTAGTTTAAGTAAACAAGCTAGTTAGAGTTCTTTAAGGATTAAAATCTTATTTATCTAGCCTATTAAGCCTAGGCTCCTAATTAGAGTAAGTATAAGCTTAAGCTAGCTACTTAGTTAGTAGAGGGACTAATTAAGAGAAGTATTAAGAGATTAGCTATACTTCTATAAGAACTTAGGCGCTAGTTATAGAGTATAAAGTAGAGTAAGATTAATATATAGCTATTAGGGCAACTATATAACCTAGAGAGTTAAGCTATATATATAAGCTATATAGTAAGGTTTATTTACTTCTATCTATATATACTAAGAGATAAAGAGTAGTAGATTATATATTTCTAATAGTAGTATAATATAGCTACTTAATCTAAAAGTAGTATAGTATTAAGTAGTAATAAAGATAGTAAAAATAAAGTAGAAGGTAGTAAGGCTAATAATAATAGCCTATCTAATATAAGGGCATATAGAGGATACTAAATTATAGTAAAAGAGGTTTAGTATTAGAGTTTTTACTTAATTAAGAAGTATATTTTAGTAGTCCTATATATAACTCTAATACCCCTAAATTATAATTAATTTTAACTTAGATTTAAAAATATTTTATATAAACTTAATTTCTATATACTTTGTATAGTAATACTAAGTATTTAGTCTATAACTTTAGTAAAATATAGTGCTATTTTAGTAAGTAGAGTTAAGGTTTCTATATAATAGAGCTTATATAGAATAGCTAAGTAATAGCACTCTAATAAGTAAATACTATAAGTAGTAATACTATAAACTCTTATAAGTAGCTATAGTAGCTTATACTTAGTAACTATAATAGTATATTCTACTTTCTTAAAGACTTTAGTATTATTATTTATAAGTAGCACTATATAGTAGTAGTAAGTCTAGATATATATCTCTATAAATACTATACTATATCTACTATACTATAGTAATAAATACTTAAGTACTTTAGTTAATTTAAGACTATTACTCTAAGTATAATTTAGCTCCTAAATAAGCTTATATAGCTACTAGAGGAGCTTAGAGATCTACTTAATAGTATATAGTATAAAATATATAGCTAGATTACTATTAATAAAGATAAGATATATAGGTATTATAAGAAAAAATACTAGTAAGTATAGGTAGGAGAGAAAAGCTTACTCTATAATACTATAAAAGTATAAAGCTTCTTTTATACTAGGAGGCTATAAAAATATTTTATTATTAATTTAGATATAGTAGAAGTTCTATAAAATAATAAGCTTAAAATACTAGTTTAGGCTTCTCTTACTAAGTATAAATTAATATAATAAGAAATTAAGGAAGAGCTATAAATACTTAAAGTAGCTATAAAGATTAATAAAATAGGTTAGTTTAAGTATATAAGCTAGCTAGAGTTCTTAAAGGACTAGAATCTTACTTATCTAGCTTATTAAGCCTATATACCTAAGTATAATAAGTATAAGCTTAAGCTAGCTACTTAGTTAACTAAGGGGCTAGTTAAAAGAAGTATAAAAGGGCTAGCTATGCTTATATAGTAGATAAGGCGCTAGCTATAGAGTATAAAGCAAGATAAACTAGATATATAGCTATTAGTATAACTATAGAACCTAGAGAGTTAGGTAGTATATATAAGCTATATAGTTAGGTTTATCTACTTCTATCTATAGGTACTAGCTAATAAAGAGTAGTAGATTATATACTTTAGAGAGTAGTAGTATGCTATTACTTATATAGATTACTATTTAATATTAGGTAGTAAGAAGAATAGCAAGAAAGATAGTAAGAAGGATAGTAAGAAGGATAATAATAGCAAGAGTAGTAAAGGTAATAGTAATAGCCTATAGCTATAATATATAATATATATAATATATATAATAGGTAATTAGCTATAATAGAATATAGTAAAGAATATATATAAGCTCTTTATATAGATAGATAAGTAGAAGTTATATAGAATTAAGCTATAGAATATACTAGTATTATAAACCTTAGGAGGGGCGTAGTAGAAGATAAGAGATAGAAGGATTAATAACACTTAGGGATAACCTAAAAGTCTTTAAGAAGGTTAGTATTTAAGGACTAATAATAATATAACCCCTTCTATTCTAAAGTCTTAGTAGAATACTACTATAGAATAAGTTATATAATATTCTAAGAAATCTTATAATATTCTAAGCTATTCTAGTTTAGTATAATAATAGAATAATAGAATAAGTATAGAATACTATACTTACTTAAGTATATAGTTAGTAGGAATATAACTTTTATAGTTTATATTTAACCTAAGTATTAATCTATAATATTAGATCTTAACCTAACCTTTAAGCTAGACAGTCTACTCTATACTACTTATTATTATCTCTTACTCTTAAGATAGATAGATTATATCTATACTTCTTAGTGCAAGACCCCTTTAGTTTCCCTAATAGTATTTATCCCTAAAAACTAATTAAATAGTACTTATAAGCTTTGCTTAAAGTATAACCTTAATAACTAGATACTTTCTAAATATTCTAACTAAAATAGAAGATAACTAGAAATTTCTAGATATTCTAATTTCTAGGTATTTTAATTTCTAGATATTTTAATTTTTAAATATCTTAATTCCTAGATATTCTACTAATTTTTGGTACTATAGAATAAAAACCTAGTAAGTAAAGAATAAGCTAGGAGTAGTAAAAAACTAATAAAAAAAAACTTCTAGACATTATAAATTTCTAGATATCGTGCTAGATAAGCTATTAGACGTCTATACTGCGTCCTTCTTATAATATATAGTTTATAGTTAATATATAGGCGTTAAATAAACACTTATCTATATATAAATTTAAGTATTACTCTATAGCCCTATTGCTTTCTTATATCTATGCCTTATCCTAAGGGAATCTAGCGCCTTCTTATTGCCTTACCTTATTAAGAAGCCGCATAACCTATATAGTTTCCTTCTATAGCATAATGCTATTCTAAACTCTACTAGCCGTAATATTAAGTGCGACTGCGTCTGCTTTAAAGTAGAATCTATGCCTAGGTTTTTTAAATTTATATATCTTTCTAGTATTAGTTGTCCCTGCGGACGATATGTTGTTTCCGCTTTTTAAATAAACTATAAAACGTTGTAGCGTAGATAAGCCTAGTTCTAATACTATAATATAGCCCTTAGTGCCCTTAATTCTATAAAAGTCCGAATCTGTCCTTAACTATAGGGACAATATAAGGATAGCTTAGGCGCTAGTAGGGTATAAAAGGATTATTAAGCTCGCGACGTTAATATTGTTAGACAATGTCTGTGCCGCAAGAATGCGCAGTTTCTAAGCTTCTTCTCTAATTACCTAGTCTAATGCTAGGAGACCCTAGGTAAGCGAGTAGATACTAATATTAAGTAACGAGCTAGCCTCTAGCGCTAGATTCTTAAGTTAAGAATTAAGTCCTAATGCTTCGATGTCTATATTAAGCAAGAAATTGCAAAACACTCTTTGCACCTTTCTAATTAACTTCTCTTTATAAATAACCAACTATAACGTTTATATAAGAGGGTATAAGCAAGTCTATATAGCTTCTATAATAAACACGCCTTATTTTACTATAGTAGAAAAGACTTCCTTAGCTTTAGAAGCTATAAGAGTAAATAGCTTTTTATATAAAACATGTTTACTAGCTGCAATAGCATCAAGGCAGTTGCGTGCGTAAAATGCGTGTGGCGTTCCTATATATATAATATTAATATCTAAGTCAGCATACACCTTAGAATAGCTAGAGTAGTTAGTTAGTAAGAGGCTTAGTATAAGTTCTTTAGCAAAACGTTGTCTCTTTTCTATTAAAGATAAACTAATAGCTTAGATTACGTGTTTTGCCTTAGCATCTAGGCAGGGCAGAGCTAGATCTAATATAAACTATAAGGAAATAAGGCTAGTTATAACGATTCCCTAATAGAGAGTCGGTAATTCTAGGTATAACATAATATAAAGATAGAGTAATTAATTAACTAATTAATTAATTAAACTACTACTTTTTCTTATTCTATAATAGAGCGAAATATATACCTTATAATAAAGGCACGTAGCAGCTACTTCTTACCTAGGTATGCAAAGATAGCTACTAACTACTCTTTAACATCTTATACTAATATTAAAGATAGAAGCAACACTTAGATACTAGGGCCTTATTAAGTATAGGCCCTAGGGATGTTTAGCACTTAATTAAAAAGAATAATTAAAATCTAGAAGTAGAGAGTTATAGCACGCAGAAATATACAATGCATAGGGAATTATAGACAAAGATATATATAGCCTAGGGATTAATAGCATATATAGAGGGTAGCTCTAATAGCCTATATACCTAGGTAGTATAAAATAAGTCTGCTACCTTAACTAGAGGCATGTCTATGCAACGACGACCTAGCTATACCCTAGGCTAAGGTATTACTACCTAACTTGCTAGCCTATCTCTATCTAGACATAGTAACTTGTCTTAATGTTATAAAGTAGTTTCTATAAGATATTAGCGGCCCTCCTAAGATCTAGTGCTTCTTTCTACTAGAACCTTAGACCTATAGTTATTTAGTATACTATCTCTCTCTAGCTAGCTAGCATATTTACTTATCTACCCCTTATAGTAGCAAGAAGTAGAAGAGACTTTATAAAGACTAAACAATTTTAATACTAAGTTCTATAGTATCGATAATACCTACTCTCTCTTATAGCGTGTTATAAATAAGCTTTAAGACACTTTTCTATATATAGCCTAATAAGCTGCTGCGCTAGACTGCTATCTAGTAGATAGATTGCAAGATATAGAAATAGTTAGTAAATTTATTTAAGAATATTAGGGAAGCAGGTATAGACTATATAGTAAAGTTCTTCTAATTGTTAAAGGCTTAAAAGTAGAAGCCCTAGGGTTATAATAGGTTCTAGAAGGTAATTATACCTATAGGGAGTTAAGTTTTGCTACCTTAGGAAACTAGAAGGAGAAGGGATAGATACTAACTACTAGATAAGCTGCGACTCTAGTTCCTAAGCTAACTAGATTATCTAGTAGATTAGTATTAATAGCTAAGAGCTCTTATTCTTTTAATAGAAGATGTTAATTACTCTGTTTATAATATGCCGAATAGCAATCTCTAATAGATAATAGCTCTAGCTATTCTCTAACTTAGGGGATAGTATTAAGGCTAGAGCATTAGTATTGCTAACTATTCTATCTGCTGCTAATTCTAAACATAGAACTAGACTTCTATATAGAGGTAATAGAAACGCATTAGGGTATATAACCTTAGTAAGACCCGATACTAGGAGGCAGATATCTATTTAAATTTTACTTAGTTATTAGTTTTATATTCCTTTAAAAGCACTAACTATACTTACTATTCTAATTTTAGGCATAACTAATATAGGCAGCACTCTAAGCTCTTGTTAACTCTAGCCTTAGTTCTATTCTTAGCTCTTAGGTAGATTTAAAATATAATACAAGCCTAGTTAAATAAATTATAAGCTTGTAACAGCTAGAGAGAGTATATCTTATAAATGCTATAAAGGAAATAATATTAAGTAGTTAAAATTAAGCATTTTAAGAGGCTAATATGCTTTAGAGTAGCAATATAGTAGCTCTCTGCAGTAGGATAATTATCTATATTATTAATACTATATTATAGGTTAGGGCCTTATACTAGATCTAATATAATAAAATCTAATCTATATAGCAATAATAGATAGCCTAACATATATACTAGTAGCTAGAGATATATATTAGTAATAAAGTCTTAAGTTAATATTAGAGGTCTTTATAGCATATACTATAAGATATAATAGTATGTTCTACTTAAATCTATACTCTATAGTATCTTTAGCTATTGATATTATCTTACTTATATTAAGAATAGGGTTTTTAATATAAATATTAAGAAAGAATTTTTTAACTAGAGCAAGTATCTCCTTATCTTAGATGCTATAGCTATATCTAGAGCTTCGATCTAATTTATAACTAATAGACTAGGTTAAGACTAACTAGTCTCTATAAGTTATATTAGGATTAAAGATTAATATCTTAGTCTCTAAGTAGTAAAATTTACTCTAGAACACCGGCTACTTAAGCATATCTTCGCATTTGCTAAGAGCTATCTTAGTAAAATTAAGTAATTTAGAGAGTAAGATAGCTTCTTATCGAGGTTTATAGCAATAAGGTCTATTATAGTGTTTCTAGCTTATAATTATAGATAATAGACTAGCACTATAATTATTAGTTAGGCTATTTAGTAGCAGCAATAGAGATATATAATCGACCTAATATAGGTTAGATACTATACCTAAAAGGTAAGTATTTTAGACTTTAAGGAGCCTTCTTATAGCCCTAAGCTAGTCTAGAATTTCTATACTAGCTAGGTTATATCTATAAGAAGTAGTGCAGTTAGTAGATAGATAAACCTACCCGATATAAGGGCGCGTGGAGGACACCAAATCGCAGCGAAACAGGTTTAGCGTTAGGGTTTTCGCTTAATCAAGAAGCACATTTTGGTGGTCCCTATCCACTATGAGGTGACGAGAGAGGCCCTATCCAATATGAGGTGACGAGAGAGGCCCTATCCAATATGAGGTGACGAGAGAGGCCCTATCCAATATGAGGTGACGAGAGAGGCCCTATCCAATATGAGGTGACGAGAGAGGCCCTTCTCGCAGCAAAATTAGCTTAATATCGCTTAGCGTTAGGGTTTCGCACTAAAATTAAGGAGGCGACTCGTCAAACTTCATGTACCCAACTCATCAGAAACAAAGCACTGCACAGCAATTTCGCTCATACAAAGTCGTCTTGTACGCGTCTGAATATTGCGCCGGTATTGTTGTTTTCAACAAATTACAGATCTACTGATACAGCAGGGTTAGGGTTAACTTGGGGTTAACTTAGGGCTCACGATGGAGCTAGTGTGGGACAGCCGTCTGTCAACACCGCAAGAGCGAGTTAACACAACAAGCAGCAGCGCACAACGCCGTAAAAGAGGCTTGCAAGTATCGCTTGACAATTGCGATAAGATTCTTTGCTTTTTGCAAGAGTTTGGTGTTTTAGTATGCAGGGAGCATTACACTGCTGTTGTTAATCTTAACACGCATCTCTTGCAGCATCACAGTGTGCCCGCTGCAACTCGAAAACAAGTTGTTGAACGCTTCAATCAATTCGCGCTAGTTGATGCAGCAGACGTTGAGCTTCCAGATGAGCCGGCGCGACCGATAGAAGAGCTTGGGAAACCGCTAGACGGGCTGCAGTGCAAGACATGCAGCTTCATCACTATCAACAAGGACACAATGCGCATGCACTGTAAGAAAGATCACCAGCAAGCTTGGCTAGGAGAAAGAGGCGCGCTCTATCACACTGTCAAAGTACAGAGCTTTTTCCGCACAGGGGGTTTACAGCGATACTTTGTTGTTGATTCAGCGGTAGCCGAAAATGCTCTAAACGACAACGTCGAGGTTGCAGTTCAGAGGCAGCTTGCTGAGTATAAACTGACACAACAAGAAGTCGAGGAAGAGCTGCAAACGCTAGAAGAGGCCGCGAAAACAGACAAGACAGGCTGGTTCAAGCGGACAGGCTGGTTGGCGTTCTTCAAGGATCGAAATCTTGTTCATCTGGCCCATCAAGCCCGGGCTCCCGATCGGAGCGAACACAAGCTCAAGCTAGCTGCTCAGCTGGCAGAGGGACTGATTGAGAGAAGCGTTAAGGGATTGGCTACGCTTCCGCAAGAACTCAGGCGCTGGCTGCGGAGCGCAAAGCAGAGCGAGATTGACGTGCGGCCATTAGGGCGACTGCAGAACCTATCCAATATGAGGTGACGAGAGAGGCCCTATCCAATATGAGGTGACGAGAGAGGCCCTTCTCGCAGCAAAATTAGCTTAATATCGCTTAGCGTTAGGGTTTCGCACTAAAATTAAGGAGGCGACTCGTCAAACTTCATGTACCCAACTCATCAGAAACAAAGCACTGCACAGCAATTTCGCTCATACAAAGTCGTCTTGTACGCGTCTGAATATTGCGCCGGTATTGTTGTTTTCAACAAATTACAGATCTACTGATACAGCAGGGTTAGGGTTAACTTGGGGTTAACTTAGGGCTCACGATGGAGCTAGTGTGGGACAGCCGTCTGTCAACACCGCAAGAGCGAGTTAACACAACAAGCAGCAGCGCACAACGCCGTAAAAGAGGCTTGCAAGTATCGCTTGACAATTGCGATAAGATTCTTTGCTTTTTGCAAGAGTTTGGTGTTTTAGTATGCAGGGAGCATTACACTGCTGTTGTTAATCTTAACACGCATCTCTTGCAGCATCACAGTGTGCCCGCTGCAACTCGAAAACAAGTTGTTGAACGCTTCAATCAATTCGCGCTAGTTGATGCAGCAGACGTTGAGCTTCCAGATGAGCCGGCGCGACCGATAGAAGAGCTTGGGAAACCGCTAGACGGGCTGCAGTGCAAGACATGCAGCTTTATCACTATCAACAAGGACACAATGCGCATGCACTGTAAGAAAGATCACCAGCAAGCTTGGCTAGGAGAAAGAGGCGCGCTCTATCACACTGTCAAAGTACAGAGCTTTTTCCGCACAGGGGGTTTACAGCGATACTTTGTTGTTGATTCAGCGGTAGCCGAAAATGCTCTAAACGACAACGTCGAGGTTGCAGTTCAGAGGCAGCTTGCTGAGTATAAACTGACACAACAAGGAGTCGAGGAAGAGCTGCAAACGCTAGAAGAGGCCGCGAAAACAGACAAGACAGGCTGGTTC